AACTGACATTACCAAACACCAATTTCATGCCAGGCACATTCGTAGCCAGTTTCTTCCTGACTCCTCAAAACCAGCTGTTCTCAACCTTTTGGAGGGGGTCACATACCCCCTCAAGAATCTGCTGAAAGCTGTGGATTCTCTTCCCCAGATAAAAGTACATCATTTTACATATAAGTGCAGAGGGGGTCAAGGTTAAGAGCTCCTGGTGTAAACCTGGACTGTTTTAAGATTGTCTTAGGTACCAGGGACCTTCTCTTTTGGAGGCCCCACCCCTTGGCATATCAAACATTTTTGTATATATCCACAGCCCACACTAAATTATACACACACACAGAGTTCAGCTGAACTGCAATTGACTGTTTGACATAATGTTACATTTTGTAGGTATGTAATAAACCATTAATTTCCATTTTGTGCTTTCTTTTCCAATTTTAGAGCCAATAAAACTTTTTGGCAAATTTTATTGAAATGTATCATACATATAGAAAAATACAGAAATCTTAAATGTACAACTCAACGAATTCTCACAAAGTGAGTATACCCGTGTGACCGGCGCTCTGCTCGCACCCAGAAGCCCCCCAGGCCCCCTTCCATTCAGCACCCCCCACCCCAGGGCAGCCGCTGTCCTGACTTCTAACACCATAGATTAGTTTGCCTGTATTCGATTTGTTATAAGTGGAATCATAGAGTTTCTACTCATTTTGTGCCTGGCTGCTTTCGTGGAACCAATAAAGCTCTTTATTCAGGTCTCAGGCACTATCGAAACCAGGGGTTCTCCACCTTGCCTGCACACTAGAATCTTGTGGGGAATTTTCAAAAATCCTGATGCCCAGGCTGCACCCGAGAACAGTGAAACCAGAATCTCTGGGGATAGGACCAGACATGAGTGGTCTTTCTTGCTCCCTGGGTGGCATCAAGTGCACGAAGGATGAAAAGCACTGGTCCCAGCAATTCCGTAAAGGGTTAGTGTCTGTGTTTACAGCTGTGGAGACTGAGTCTCCAAGAGTCCCCATCCTGTGCCACTGCCGTGAAGCCTGAGCCCCAATTCAGGTCTGACCTGGAGTGGTGTTTGCAATGCCTTCAGCCTTGGTGAATGGTAAAGCCAAAACCAGGTGTGGGTGCCTCCTGCAGGGGACCCTCCTCACTGTACATCCTGCCCGAGCTGTGGAGAAGCCAGGTGGGGTTTCCCAGGCTGTGAGAGCCCCTGGGAAAAAGGCAGCACCCCAGGGACTGGCCGTAGGGAGAAAGAGCCACCACCAACTGGACTCCATCTTTGCCTCACGGCTCCAGAAGCTACAGAAAAGTCCTTTCGGGTGGGAGCAGCTGATGGTTTTAGGGCCATGGGGAAGTTTCCCAGCAGCTGCGTTTCTCTAGCCCAGGCCGCTTTGATTCCGGGGTGCAGTGCACGATTCCACCGCTCGGGGGCACCACGAGCTTCTGTAAACCCTGTGGTTTTCACCACCCTCCCCCGCACCCCCGCTCCCCATCCCGGGTGTGAAAGGGTGCCAAAGGAAGCCAGAATGCGGTGTCTGGCGGCAGTGAGGGGAGAACGGCAGCCTGGAGCTGCCTGGGGGTTCCTCTGCTGCCCCCGGGCCTGATGGGGCCTGTCCCTGGCTGGCAAGGGGGATGCAGGGACATGGCTGCGACCGGACCCATAACTGAGCCAGCAGAGGAAAGCCTCACGGGGCTTCTCCCTACCTTCACCAAGCTGTCCCTGTGGGCCCCACAGCCCATGGGGAGCACAACCCATCACACTCCCGTGATGCCCTGGGCTTGGAGGTGCCAGCCCTGCCCCGGAGTCCAGGCACAGCTCCAAATCTGTCCTTGGATCTCTGCCAAATCCCAACCCTAGGATGGCTGAGGACCTCAGGCTGCTGAGAGTCTCTGAAGCTGGATCTACCATCTTCCCCACAGTTTGGAGTCAGACTGCTTAGATTCAAAGCCAGGCTCCACCATTTCCTGGTTGTGTAACTTTGGGCAAGTTACTTCACTTCCATGAGCCTCAGTCCCCTTACGTGTAAAATGGGAACAACAGTCCACACCCTAGAGGATTGTGGTGAGGGTTGAATGGTGACTTATGAAGTCTAAGCCGAGTGCCTGGCACATATAAGTGCTAAATAAATGTTAACTACTATTTAATTTTTATTACTACTACTACTAACATTGCAAACAGGAAAGAGTGAACCTACCCACATATTAAAGAACAGCCTCCATTGTGACAACCCACACACACTCCAGGTTTGAGCAGAGGCAGTGAATCCAGCCCGCTCCATGGCTCAGGCAGAGGCCCAGCTGCCCCTTAGGAGCAGGAAGCACAAAAGTGAAAGCCACCCAGAGTCCCATTCAGCACCGTCCACAGGGGACCTCCCAAGTCCCCACCCAGAGGCTGGAGCCATTGCCGCCACAGTCTGGTGACAGCCTCTCTTGGCCCACAGATGTGAGTGTGTGACTCCCGCCACCCTGCACCCTCAGGCAACTTCCATCTGGGTGCCATCTCCATGGTGTCATGAGCACTGGGTCAGAGACCTTGGTTCTAAACTTCGTACTGTCATCAACCAGCTGTGTGGCCTGGGGCAAGTCACTCACCCTCTCTGGGCCTCTATTTGGCCTCATTTAGGTGATCTTTAAATGCCCTCCCAGCTCTAGCACATGGTTTTAGCAAAGTATCTAGCACATAGTAGGTGCTCAATAAATGTTATTTGGTTTCATAAAATCCAAGACGTAACTCTGCCAGGTTCCAACACCCACATAATTTTCTAGTCTTTAGAACTGAGTGACCTGTGTGATCCAGCCCCTAACAGGGCCCAACCCAGGGTAAGAGCTCAAGAAATAGGTATTTATTTAATTAATTCATTACTTACTTTTGCCCTGGCTTTCAGTCCAACCTGATCCCCCCACCCAAGGCTGGAAGTGCCTTGTAAAGGCTCCTGATTAGGGGATCTGGAGTGTCTGCCTCCCCACTAGACCACGAGCTCCAAGAAGAAAGGGTCCATCCTCCCCGTGTCAGGACGCTGCCTCTTCAGGAACACACTCAGCCCCGCCTCCTCAGCGTGAGGTGGATGGGCAGCTGAGCATCCTCTCACTGTGATGCTAGAGCCAAGAACTAGCCCCCCGTCAACATGGGGGAGAGAAGCAGCAGAGAGCCTCAAGCTGGGCAAGTCCTTTTATTGGAAAAAGAAATAATAAAACAAAAGGCCACCACATCGCCTGTGCCCAGCCGTCGCATGGGAGAGGCACAGGTCAGGCACCAGGTCCAGCCACACAGTGGGCCAGGGTGGGCACAGGCCGGGTTAGGGTCAGGGGGCTGTGGTGGACCCCACTTGGGCTCAAGGGCTGGGCTGCTCACTCCAGCTCACTGGGGAGGTGCCTCCTTCCCACATGCTGCTCCTGTGTCCAAAAGAAAATCAGTCTGCTCTTTGGTTCCAGAAAGCTAACCGCAGCGGCTGATCTTTCATAGCTGCTTCTAGCACCTCCTGCCGGCTGAGGCGGGCACCTTCCTCTGTCCGTCTCCCAGGCACCAGGACAGGGTTCCTTCCTTCCCCCCAGCCTCCCTGGGCCTCAGCAGCCAGGACCTCATTGGCTGGACGCCCCTCTTTCCTTTCAAGAAAGGAGTTTGATTTTCCCCGGCAAGTTGCTGGCTCCTTTGAGGGTCAGCCTGGCTTACACAGCTCTAGAGAGCCCAGAGCCTGGGCAGGCTGTATACGCAGCATCCTTGGTCCCATTGCTTTGTCATGGGGGGCTGGGAGGAGGGCATGGAAGGCCCCGGAAGTTTGGCTCTGCTCTTCTAGAACCCCAGCTTCTCTTCTCTAGAATGTACACAGTCGAGTCAGAAGGAGGGGAGAACCTTGCAGGTGGGGAGATGCCAGGAAGAAGAGCCAAGCTGGCAGCCTCAGGCAAGCAGAGAAGGGCGTTAGGACATTTAATTACAGCTCAACAGGCTGGACCCACGAGGGAAGCAGCCACAGACCATCATGTACGAAGACAAGACCGGATGCAGAGAGAGGCAGTCATTGGCCTAGCAGCCAAGGAAATATACAAGGGCACTCTCACTCACACATGCACTCACATGTGCACTCACATGTGCACACATACACTCACACGTGTGCACTCACACACATGCATTCAGTCGTGCACACTCCTGCACATACACACATGCATTCATGCACATAGTGCATTCACACATGTACACACACACATGCACTCACACATACGCATTCACACATATGCATTCACACACGTGCCTGCCTGTGCACACACTCATTCTCACATACATGGAGGTTCTAATCTCAGGAAGTTGGCTCCAGTTCTGGAGGTTCAAACCCCTCAAGGCAACATCTCTCTACGAAGTGTTTCTCCAGAGCCCCAGGCTGTGTGCCCCACCACCAGTGCCTGGTGGCCTGCGAAGTCTCAGGAGTTGGACACTTCTCGGAAAGGCCAAGATGGCCTTCCAGGCTTTGGGTGGAGGATAGGAAAGCCACAAGTCTAGAAGAGGTCAGGAAGGGGCTGAACAGCTCCCCACCACGGCGCCCATAAGCTGACCACTCCTGTCTCCCCAGACCTCAAATGCGGTGGAGGCAGGCTCACAGACAGGCAGAGGCCCTGTGGTGGCATCAGGAAGAGGAGACACTGGGAGACAGCCAGGAGGAGCAGGGCCCCAAGGGGAGAGAGTCCTGGTGGATGTGGGATTAGGGTTGAGGAATCATGCAGGATGGGAATTCTCTATGTGACAGACCTGGGCCCCATTCTGGGGTGTTGGGGGAGGAGCTGTGGAAGAAAGGGGCCGTCCAAATTGTGTTGTCCCCACCCCCAGCATCCCCCTGGAAGATCTGGCTCTGTATGACCCAAGACCAGCCCCACCAGGAAAGAGCCAGGCCAGGAAGTGGACCATCCTACCAGGCGGCGAGGGGCAGGGGGCACGGGCTGATGGCCTGCAGGAAACACTGGGCCAGTCACCTTCCACCCCCTCCCCCGCCCCCGCATCAGGTGGGCCCCGAGAATGACTCAGAAGCGGGTGCTCTGGTAGCGCAGCCGCCGCAGGTCTGCAAGGCCCTCAGTCCGGCTGTACACCTCCCTGCAGGGACTCTCGGCCAGTCACCGGGCCCCCGCCCCGCCACCGCCGCCGCTGCTGCTGCCACTGCCGCTGCTGCTGCCGCTGCTGGAACTGCCGCTGCTGCACCGGTCCTCGTAGATGGAGATCTCGATCTGGGGCGGCGTTAAGGAGGGCTGCGAGCTGCGGAGCAGGGGCGGATGGGAACCGGCTGATGGAGGCCAGCAGGGGAGCGGGCAGCAGAGCTGGCGCTGCTTCCTGGACAGTGAGGATGTGGAGGCCTTCGGAGCTGGACCCCAGCCCTCTACGCGCACGCACTCCCAGTTACAGAGACTTGTAGGGCCGGGTACTGCGCAGGCGCACAGCCAGGATCAGGCGCTTACACTCCAGTGTGTCTAATGACGGAATCCCAGGACTCGGATGTGCCCAAGAGGTGGTGTCACTGCACGGGAAGTATGAGGACTCTGGTGTCCTGAGTTCAAATGCCAATTCGCCGACTCTGAGCTATGTGACCTCAGACCAGCCATTTAACTTGTTACCCATCAGTTGTCGCATCTGTAAATGAGGGTAATAATGGAATCTTGGGGTTGTCCTGAGGATGCGCTGACTTGCCAGCACAAGGCCTGGCAGGTGGTGAGGCCTCAGTAAAAAGGAGCACCACCACTTGGGTTTTGTGAACACAAGATGCTGGTATTTGTAGTTTCTTTACTCTTTTTCTCCTCAGTTTTCCAGTAAAAGCTATTTTACAACAATTCTACTCTTGCTGCTGCTAACTGGGGGGCGGGAAGGTGCATACCTTGACCACACTTTTCCAGGTGGTGAGCAGACCTATAACCCAGCCCCGGGCCAGCCTCCCCGCAAGACCTTGTTTTACCCATCTGTGAGTGGGGGACAGCAGGATCTACCACGCGGGATTAGACAAGGATTACACAAGACTGGGGACCTGTAAACATAAGTGGAGATGTGCATGTTCCCGGAGGGGCAGCACAGCCTAGTGGTTAAGGGTGGGCCTGGGCTCAAGTCCCGGCTCTGACCTTCACCACCCGGGGGGCCCTGAGCCCTGATTTAACTCCAGTGGGCTCATCTACAAAGGGGAATAATAGGAGTGACCCACCTGAGGGGCGGTTATGAGAACTACATGAATTCATGGTTTCAAAGCACTGACTGTGATATCTGGCATGCACTGAGCACTGCTTAAGTGCAGTTCAGTATAAGTAAACCCTGAAATTCACAAACAGCACCAATAATTTATTTGGGGTGGGGGCTGACAAGGGATGTGGGGAATCCTAGGAAATCCCTGAGTGGAGGGCCCTAGGGTGACCCCATTTCCTGGCTGTCTCACCAGGGACCCCACTGGTCAGCAGCCCTGTGCCCTCACACAGAACAGCCAGGAAGGATACAACCCTCATCCCACGCTCCACTGGGTCGGTAAGCAGGAGGCCTCGAGGGGCAAAGATCTTCTCATTCTGCTCCTGGATGTAGCGGGAGATCTTCTTGAGAACCTGCAAGGAGAGGGGCTGGTTGAGGATGAGGGTGAAGCACGGGAGCCCCGGGGGAGGGGACGCTGGGCAGTCAGGGAGGGAGCCACCTTCTCGTAGTGGGTCTCCATGCAGAGGAAGATGAAGTAGGCCGTGGCACAGGCCAGGCAGCCCTCGAGGTAGGAGCTGCCCCCAATCTTCTCGGCCTCCGCGTAGAAGCTGTTGAGGGTCTTCACAGTCTCCTCAAAGAGCTGCCGCTCAATCTGGAGGGAGAAAGGGACAGGGGTCCAGGCCTAGGTCAGCCTCCCTGGATTGTGAACAGTCACAGGTGGGAGGGAGGGTGATAGTGGTGGGGCCACACAGTGGGGATAGGGGCACACAGGCAGGACCAGAGAGGATGCAGGTGCCCATGGAGCAGAAAGGGGACTGCACTGGGAGTCAGGAGACCTGGGGTCCAGGGCAGACTTGGCCATCAACTAGCTGTGTGACCTTGGACTAATGACTTAACTACTGTAACCTCAGTTTCCACATCTATAAAATGGGAATAAGAATGGCTACTTGGCCTCCCGTGGAAACAGGAAACTCCCACGATATCTTAGATGTGAATGTTTTCTGCAGCAGATCAGGCAGGAATTCCAGTGACTTTGTCATCCCCCCCCCACCCCATTTTGACGGCTGTAAGAGAGCGCAGGACTTAACTGGTAGGCGCTCTCCCTGTTTGGATGGGACTCCAACTGCGTGAGACTGACTGGGTGGGATCTCAGGAGTGTCTCTCCAGGAGGGGCACGTCCTCCTAGCTGAGAGGTCACCAGGAACACGACAGCCCCGTGCATTTGGACAACTGGAAGCTGTCCTGCCTGGACAACTGGAAGCTGTCCTGCCTGTACCCATATTCACAATAGCTAATATTTGTTAAGCACTTTCTATGTACCAGGCATTTGTTGTGTATTCTTTCACTTAACCCTCATGACAATTCTATCAGAGAACAGAGAATATCAGAGAATCAGCGAATTCTATCTACCACCAATCAAAGCTCTGCTCTGTGGTCCAGGCCACCATCATCTCTGGCCTCTTAGCTGGTCTCACTGCCCCCAGCCCTGCCGAGTGAGCCTGTTAAATTCAGATCATGTTACAGCTCAGATCAAGAGCTTCCCACGTTGTCCCATCTCTCTCCAAGTAAAATCCAAGAAGTCCTTACAATGCTTGCTAGGCCCTACGGGGCATGGCCTTGTGGTCCCTCTGAGCTGGTCTCCTACTCTCCTTCTCACTCAGTCCCCACTCCAGTCACACCGACTATCCACTGCTCCTCGAAAATGCCACAGGTCTTTTGTGCCTATGTCGTTGGCGGCAATGCTTTCCCCCCAGGCACCTCCTACCCCAGCTCATCCCTTACTTCCCTCAGGTCTCACTTTATTAGATGGGCACCCCCACCATTTGCCTCACCCAGCTCTCCCTATCCTCATGACCTCTCCTGTTATTTTTCTAGTATTTTTCACCATCTGAGCTACTACATATTTACTTGCTTGCTGTTTTTATTTTTTGTACCCTCTAATAGACAGTAAACTCCACGAGTTCACACCTATATCCCCAGTGCCTGATACATAGTAGATACGCAATAATTACTCGCTGAATGCTGAGCAGACTTGTCCAAGGTCACACAGCTCTGACCGGAGTCTGTGCTCTATACCATGGAGCCCACACGAGACAGCCTGGAAGGCCCCGCTCCAAACTCAGCAGGTGTCCAAGTGTCTGTTGCCCCATATTTTACGTTCTTCAGAGCACCCCCTGCCCCACTCGCCCCCACCGGACCAGAACTGTCCATCACACAGCTTAGGGACCTCCCTTGCCTGTCTAGGACAAAAGCTCTTCCCAAGAATAATCAGAAGCTTTGGGGTTCCTGGCCACCGTCCCTACACAGATCTGGAGTGAACACATGGAGAAAATTCTGCTCATCTGGCCCATGACCCAAGCCCTGCTGCTGTACCCCAGGGGTCACCCCACCCCAAAGGGCAGGCATGCTAAGATGAGGAGACACACATGGCTCCCCAAAAGCTGGTTAGGGGTCAGATCGGCAAAAGCTGGCCCTGCCCCCACCTTCCCAAACCCATTCAGATCTGCCTGGGCTGCTGAATGGAAGGATCATGGTCTGTCCTCTGCCCTCTCCCAATCCCAGGCCAGCTCTAAGGCAGCCTGGGATGAGGGCTACATATACTCCCAGAACCAGGAGCAAAACTCAGCAGAAGGAGCTGATGCCTAACAAGGGGCCGGTGGTCCCTGAGACACCCAAGTAGCTGAGTCTGGAGGGAGAGGCCATAGGCAGAGCCCTTGGTTGACAGCCTCTGATGCCCTCAGCAGACTCTGTGATGGAGCATCAGGCTCTCCCCTGTGCCCAAGGTGGGGAGAAGGAGGGAAAAGCAGCCTCCAGCCCTTCCTCCAGGTCTCTAAGCTTTCCCTGCCAAGACTCTGATCACGAAGGCATCCAGTTTTATCTGTGCCCACTAAGGATGCAACTGCATCGGTAAGAAAATGCGTCTTGTGAAAAAGCAGAGTCAGAACCGAGGCTCTTCTGGTACTCACTCACTTTGGTAAGTCACTTCCGCTTCCTGGCCCTGAGTTCCCTCTCCTCAGTGAGAGGGGTGAACCAGCACGGTGCTTCTCAAACTTTAATGCATAGGTGAATAACTTCAGGATCTCTTTAATATGCAGATTCTGACTCAGTGGATCCAGGGTGGGGCCTGAGATTCTGCGGTTCCAGGCCATGCTGATATTGCCAGTCCACAGACCACAGTTCTAGTTCAAGGGCTTAGTGGTTCTCAGTTCTGGGATACACTAAAGTCACCTGAGCAGCTTTTAAAACTTAGACATGCCCAAGTCTCTCCTCCAAGAGATGTTGGTTTGGGAAGGGGGAGGATGGGTCAGAGCAGCAAAGACCACCACTGCCCTACTCCACCCAAGCTAACACCATGCAAAGTTTTTTCCACAAGATCCCAGGTGATTCTAATGTGCAGTCAAGTGTGAAAAGCACTGTACTAGAAGACCAGCGATTCTCAGAGCAGGATCTATGAATCACCTAATTCTGTATCACTTGGGGATTCCTCATTAAAAATTAAGACCCTCCACCCTGGCTGCAGACTAGAACCACCTGGGGAAATGTAAAGCAATGCTGATGCCTGGGTCCCACTCCCAGAGACTCTGATTTAATTGGTCTAAGAGTGTGGCCTAGACATTGGGATTTTTTAAAGCTCCCCAGGAAATTCTAATGTGACTTTTTTTATTCTTCCATGTGAAGTGGCTGAACGAGTTATGTGTCCTACATTACTTTTATCCTGGGAAAAAAATACATTCAAATAAGCCCTCAGTTCCATCACGGCCTGTGTTCCAAGTTTAGAAAGAGACATCCTTACCCGGCTGTCCAGCTCTGGGGGGAATTTGGTCTGGAACTGACAGATGGTCCCATCACTGTAGTCTCTCTGGATAAAGACCTTGGTGGCCAGCGAGGCACTCCGCCGGAGCTCCTGCAGATTGTGGACCTGAGGAGACACGCTCTCAGGGTGAACATCCGTCCAGGTTTGTCCGAGACCGAGGGGTTTTTCTGGATGTGGGTCTCTCAGGGCTAAAACCAGGAAAGTCCCTGGGAACCAGGACAAGTTGGCCACCCTACAGTTGCTCCAGGAAGGCCCTGGGGAAGCAGGACTGTGGAGTTCACCCAAGAAGATGCTTCGAGCTATCCCAGAAAGATCTAGAAAAAGCCTGAAGCAGGGCCAAAGCTGACCCAAAATGAGAGGCTCTGGAACCACCCACAGAGCCAGAAACAAATTTTAACAGGAGGAAAAGACTTCGCAGTGGCCTTTCACACTTTCATTCATTCAGCAAGTATCAATGTTCACAACTTGTCAGGCCTTGGCTTGGGGAACCCAGCACTGAACAAGACTGAAGCCTCAGACCCTGCCCAGTGGAGCTTATAACAGGGTTGGGAGGGGCGAGTGTGGGGCAGAGGAATACCTGATGTGGCCATTAACTCAGAGAAGATTCGAGTTCAGGCCAAGTTATGGCCCAGGTCAAAGAGCACCACAGATGGTTTTCATGTCTAGCACTTCTCACTATAGGAAAGGAGGGGCCTACGAATGTCCAAACCCCCAGACAAAATTGTGGATAAAGTAGGCTGAGGCCAGAAATTGAAGAAACACCCCACCCTGGTAGGAAGAAGTGGGGTGACTTCTGTCCTTTGTCCACACCTACAGATTGACATTGACACAGACTCTAGCATTTGAAGGGAGTGGGCTCAATTCCACAGAAGAACAGGGCTTCTTTCTTCCACCTCCAGCCTCAGTCACCCACGTTCCAGATGAGTGTCCCACTGGGTGAAATATGCCAGACACTGGAACCACACGGAGACGAAGCCCCAAAGGCAGAGTGAACAAACGGCCAGTTCATCCTGTGTAATTAAGGTGAATCCGTTCAGTCACTCAGCTCTCATTTATTGAGTCCCTACTACTGCTAGGCTCTGGGGCTGCTGAGCAAAAGACAGTCTGTGAGCTCCAGGGAGGAAGACAAGTAAATATATAATGAATGAAACTGTGATAAATGCTACGGAGAAGTAACTTCTTATCCAGAAACGCTCACTCAGAAAAGGCTTCCTGAGGTCTGCATTGAGTCATAAAGGAGTTACCGGTGGTAGAGGGCAGGCGAGGGGTGGAGAGAGGGAGGAAAAGACAACTCCGGGAGGGAGAGAAGCTTGTACAAAGTAGTGAAGATAACAGAGAATGCTCTACTCCAACGACTAGAGGCAGATTGCAGCAAGACTAGAGTTGGTTTGCGGATCAGGTAAGAGCAGTGGGAGATGGGAATGCAGTGGAGGTGAGGGTTAGATGGCAAAGAGCTGGAGGGGTTTCTACTGGAGGGGAGGATTTAAGATGGAAGATAAAACTGGCTTAAAAGCTGGGGGAAGAATAAGTAATGAGAGAAAGGTTGTCAGTATGGTAGTAGGAGCAGATAACTGGTAGATCAAAGTCCTGAAAAGGTGGGAATCAGAGACTGCTAACGAGACTTGCCTAAATCCAGGTGAACCTTGTTCTACGTAAGAGATGTGATCCCAAAGTGTCGTGATTGATGAAACAATGTATAAGTGCTCCTCTAATCAAGGTTTTAATTGAGGAAGTCCCCTTGACATCTACTAAGACCCTGTGATAACAGTGAAAAATAAAGAATGCTTTGGTAATAGAAATAAGTTATTCATTAATGTGTCTGCTCTGTCTGGTTAGGGTTTCATAGTGCTGTATTTTCAAAAGGAAAGGAAGGGGATTTGCCCTTCCTCTGCTCTTCTAAAACTAACTCACATGGGCAAGTCGATCTTGAGGATGGATTCCCCTAGTCCCAGAAGGATCATTCTGGCAGCTCTGTGAGGGATGCATGGGAAGTGGGCATGCATGGGGTAGGGGGTCAGTTGAAGACTAAAGTCCAGGGGAAAACTAAAGTGGGTTTAAACCAAGAAAAGTGGTGGTGAGAATTGAAAGAAAGGGAAAGAGTCGTGCTCCAGCCATTCTGATATAGACTCAGCTTCCTCTCCTCCAACATCCTCCTCTCTCTGTGCCTGAATGCACACATGCACACATGTGTGCACACATACATGTGTGCTACCATGAAGGTATGTGTCTCTAGTGACTGGCTAGCTGTTGACCACAGCTACTTCTTCCTCCTAGGCACACAGCTAGATTAATTCCCAGCCTCCCTTGCAGTTATGTGTGGCCATATGACTGAATGGAATGTGAAAGAAAGTGATGAATGTCATGGCTCATAAAGACCGCCTCTCCTTCATTCTCTTTCCCCTTCCACAAAAACCAATGGAGCCATATGTTGAAGATGGTGGACCCACAAGTTAGGAAGAGCCTGAGTCCCTGAATCACTGAGATCCACCCACTGATCAGGAATACCTGTTGGACTTCACCAAGGAGAAAATAAACTTCTATTGTATTATGCCATTAAGATTCTAGGGTGCTACCTTACATTATACAGTCCCACCTCCTCTTGGTTTTGATCCATACTTTGATCCTCAAGTAGCCAGAGTGGGAGGGGTTAACACAATTTCTGACTCCAACAATACCCTGAGCCTTAGAACACTGTCCTGGCTCTGGGTGACTAGGAGTCTGTGTCCCTCCCTGAAAAGTGTCTGTGGGGTCTTGAGTTGCTAGAAGATGGCATCAAGACACATTTTATATACCAGAGCCTTAGTCTCCCTGATCTGTATAGAGCACACACATCACAGACTCAACCGTAGTTGGTGAAGAGTAGGATTTAAGGCTCTCTCTATCCACGGTGGCTCAGTTATGAAGTATCAAATAAGGCCTGGTGGAAAGATGGCCTACTGACCCAGAAGCAGGAGACCTGGGTGCTAGTCCTGGCCACATGACCCTGGGAAAGTCTTCCCATCTCTGGGCCTCTGTTTCCTCAAGTAGAAACGGAGAAGTTGGAACTATATAATCACTTAAAACCTCTTCCAGCTCTGACATTCTACAGGCTTTATCAGGGATTATGAACACAAACGTTTACAGGGGCTAAGCACATAAGTGGGCCAGGTGGAGACTGTGACTAATTAGAGAACTCATGCCCTGCCTCAAGAAAGCAGCTGATCATTGCCATGTGAGAATGTGGACCCAGGTTGCCACACTTCTGACATTTTAAGAGAAACCATAAACCCGAATTTCCTTAATATCAAATATCCTGATTTTTAAATGTTTCCAATATATTCGTTAAATTTATAAACACTAAGCAGACCAAACAAGGCACGCTTGTGAACCAGATTCATTCCTAGAGCTGCCGGTTTAGGATCTCTGAAGAAGGAATACCATGGCAGGGGGCCTTGGACCAGAGCTAGAGCCAGGACACTGCCAGCTACTTAGCTTTCAGGAAACTAGTGAGGGTTTTCGCAGAGATCCATGATGCTCTGAAATCCCACAAGAGGGTCCCTGAACATGCACACACCCCTCTGTGAGGCCACAGCCTCTATGTCTCCCCTGGGCGGCTCCCCCAAGATTTCTTAACTGACCCAGACACCTGGGCTTCTCATCAACTTCTCACCTTCCTCAACCCTCCCCTCTTTCCCATCACCATCCCCCTGGGCTGCTGGCAGCTGAGAAAGGACAGGACCAAGAGGCATTTCATGAGGAAGAAAGAAAATCAGTGGTGAGATCTGCTGTCACCAATTTTTGAACTGCAGTGTGACAGGGATGGGGAGGCTGCCTGGAAAGTGGGTACTGCGGGTCACACATTTAGGGCCTGTACACCCGAAAGAGCCAACCTGGCAGCGATGGGAGGAGAAGCCCTGGAGTACAGACAAGCACTCCCAGGCCCTGTCTGCCCAAGATAAACAGGAGGTCCCATCTGGTTCACATCTCCATCCTCATTAAAAACCAGCTAATTCCAGAGGATGCACTTGAGCCCCAACTCAACAATCAAGAGATTCAACTGATGAGCCAACACTGTGCTCCCTGGCCGGGGTGTGGAGGAGGAGTGAGGATCATAAGTCACAGGCAGCCAAGTCAGGATGGAAGCCTGGGCACAGGGCCTCCCTTCTCAGCCTACACTAGGGCCCAAACCCAACCCATTGTCTGCTGGTTGCTAATTCCATGCCTCAGAGATCAAACCTCCAAATGCTTTGCTTGGATAAAGCTACTTGGGTGCATTAAAAAAATCTCATAGGGGCCAAACTCCACCGCTTAGAGGAGCCCCTCCCAGCCAGTCATTTCCCAGTTGTCCTTGGCCACCTGGACTGGTCCCCAGAGCAGACCCTGCTCCCAGTGACACACATTAGGAGAAGTTTGTCGCTCAGGAAGTGGGATCCTTACAGGTTTCCAAATGAGGTCAGTGTATTGCTCAGGAGGCCTCATCCCTCCTCTGAGTTCCTCACACACACCCCTCCCCTAATGCTAACTCCTAAACAGAAATTAGGGAATAGAAAAGATCCAGTTTCCATGCCTTCCATCCAGGGATCCAAGGATATCCATCTTTCTCAATCCCTCCACCTCCCCCTCCCCTTCTTCGTCCCTCTCCTTCTCCCTCTCCTCAAAACACCTTCTACTAGAGCTGAGGACTTCCCATTCAGAATCCTAAAGGAATGGCCACAGGAGCTTGGCGTGAGGTTCTCCTTCTCCCAACAGGTTTTTCCTGGTAATCTTAACTCAATCCTAACAGTAAAAACAGCCTGGGGAGAATGACTCACTCCACAGCCCAGATAATACGCACAGTCTGTGTCTTGGCAGAACTAAGGCTTCCGCCTCAGAGTTGCCATCAGAGTCCACCCAAGGCCGAAATGGGAAATGGGCAATGTTTGTCCTCAACTCCCCATCCCTTCTGGGCATACCTCTGTCCCTCTTCCCTCAAGCTGACCCAGCCAGGCCATTCAGAGGGCCTGAGTCCCCACCCTCCAGCCCTTCCTGAACTCTTTTGCATCCCTCTCCCATCAAAGCCTCAGGTCCAGACCCCTAGTGCTCTCCTCTCTAATGGGCAACAAAATTGGCTAATTGGATACACTTGGATGCAGCAGACAAGGCACTTGCCAGGGAGGCAGAAGACTCAAGTTCTGGTCCTGGCCCTGCCACTTTTTAGCCATATTTTCTTGAATAAGTCTCAGCACCACAGTTGCATCATCTGTAAAATGGGATAATGATGCCTTCCTTGGCTCCTTCACAAAGATCAGGCAAGCTTCTGAGCCTCGTTGTCTCATCTGTTAATTAGGGATAATAACACCATCCTTGCCCACTTCACAGGGTTGCTCTAAGGCTCAAAGGAGATCATGCTTGTGATAGAGCTTTGTACACAGGAAAGTGCTATATTCACAGAGGCATTATGAGCAAAGCCTCTCCCAGGGGAGAGTCATACATGCCTAACAGCAGCCTCCTGGAAACCCCACCTCAACCTACAGATGTGAGCCTGCTGGTTGGAATCTGTGGACCACAGCAGACCTGAGAGGGATATGCTGGGACAGATGGGCCTCTTGGAATCTCTGATCACATCATGCCGCCTTCTCTGCCCACACTGGCTGGCCCAGCCATGCCCATGTGGCTGAAGTTTCCCCTTTCTGCCCAACACCAGCAGCCTTTGCTGCAGTCTGGCAGCCCTGTCTGGAAGGTGACCAGCTCCTTGGCCATTTCTCCCTTTGTTCTTCCTGCTTTTCTCAGTATCTTTGGCACTTTTGGAGCACTCTGCATTCCTCCACCCTAGAAACCAAGCTTCACGGGTCTGCTCAGGGCTTGCCCCCTCATAGCGTCCTGGGGGGCGAGCTCTCATAGCTAACCCTGTACCTTGTCAGAAAACCCTGTGATGCCAAGCAACTGCCCTTGTTCTGTGGTGACAACAACAGCGGAATAACAATTGGTATTGATGTCACGCTGCTCACCAGGATGCCCAGAGGCGCTGCATAGAATCATTGAAAAACCTCTGCTATCCTCCTGGCTTGTGTTCCAGCTGGATTGAAAATGGGGAAACACCACAAAAGAAGTCAACATCAGAACTGGAGACCCTGGTGTCCCGAGTTCCGCTCCAAAAATTCAAAGGAAGAAACTTTCAGCTCTGCTGCTGACATGCTGTGTGAGTATCAAAGAGGTCCTCCCCTTCTCCATGTGTTAGCTTTACCATTATAAAGTGAGAACATAAAGAGCTCCATTGCCCTCATGAAATGAGGGGGTAAAGGAGGTAATTCCTGATGTCTTAAGCTTTCCACCAAGATTCTGCCTTTAGCTAACAGGTCCTTTGATTCAGCTTTCAAGTCCCTTGAAGGTGACACACCTATAGGCACACCCTGAAGAAGACAGCTCCTCCCATCAGACACAGGGGAAACGTGTGCACCAGGAAAACTCGAACGGGTTGAAAAAGCAAGAAAGGGCTATATGCAAAAGCAGGGATTGGTGAAGGCAGCTCATTAAAACCAACCATTTGGGTTTTTTGGCCTGAAGATGTCTTTGTCCCCACCCTCCCCCAAAGGAAATGTGGATGTGGAGGTAAGTCTGTTATCTTTTAGCCAGGCTTTTGGGTTCAGAAGCTGGATGGCTGCACCGCATAGCAACAGCAGCCGGCTGCCTTCCCGCCCCTAAAACAGGCGCATGCTCATCTCTAACCCTTTAGGGAAAAGGTTTCAAGACTTGCAGTCCCCAGGAAGGGGAAATCCCAGCTGGTGCCCTGGAGCAACGCTGGCGCTAGTGCCAACAAGTGGCGCGGACAGCTTTGGGACTCAGATGGGGAAGATTGACACGCGAGGGGTGAGATGAGCTCTCATGAGGAGCCCTTCTCTTCCACCCTGCAATTCCATCCCCCACCCCTTCCCTCAGGACCCGACCCGGGAAACCACTCCATCCCACACACCCATCTCCCCCACGCCACAACTCCCCCTCCTCCCCCTGCCATCCTTTCCCGCCCAATCCGCGCTAGCGGGCATCTGTTCCCGCAGCAGACGGGCACTGCCTGTGGGCTGAGTGCTCGCCCCCTACCTCGGTGGCCATATTCCGGGGACGCTGACCGCTCTGAGCCTGCTGCGGGGCCGACCGAGGGAGGGCTGTCCGCGGTGCTGACTCGGGAAGCAGGTGGGCTGCCGGCGGCCAGATGGGGCCCGGGGCGCTGTCCGCGGTGCTGATGCGGAAGCCGCGCGGGCCCGGGCGCCCGTGGGCTGCTGGGCCGGCTGGCACCTAGGTCCTGGAGACGGCCGCTGTGCTGTCCGCGGTGCTGATGCGGGCGCCGGGCCGGGAAGCGAGGCCGCGCCCGAGGCTCTTCACAGCCGGATCGCCGGCTGCCGCTGCTCCTGCAGGCAACGGCCGAGTTTAGCTTTGACAGCGGCGGCAGGGGTGGGGGTGGCGGGTGGAGGAGGGACCAGGCGCCTCCGAGGACCGGGAGGGGGAAGCGGCGGCCCCCAGTCTCGGGCGCTCGCCCGCGGAGAGGAGCCCCGCCCGTGGCCAGAGGCTCCGCTCCCGCCTGGCCCGGAGGCCCCGCCTCTCCTGCTTGCCCCTCCCCCTAGTAAGAGCGCCAGGAGCCGTGCACTCGCTACCGCGGCCTCCAGGGACTTCCAAACCCGGAGGAGAGAGAGGCAGGACGGTTCTGGGACAAGACACTCCAGCCTGCGGAGGCTGACGGTCCTCCAAGCTTTTGCAGGCCCCCAGGTGCGGCCTCTTTACCTTTCCAACACCCCTCCTCCCCCAACCCCTACCCTGCGGTGGCCCAGGCTGTCTATGTTGTTATTTTTTCTCTTCTTTCTCTCCCTTTTCTTTTCTGTGCCCCCCTCCCTAGGCTTGCATGGACGTTCCCTCCTTTCTCCCCTCTCTCCTTTTCACTGCCTTGAACCCTATTAGCTAGAGGAGGATGCTGCAGACTGCAGAGAATCTTTTCCTTTCTTTAAATATGTGCTCGCGTTTCATCCCCAGTGATACCTTGGGTCCCTTCTTTCAGGGAGCTCCAGAATTGAAGCCAGTCTCTCCTTGCTGCTCTTCCTGGCCCTGGCCCCATCCCTTACTCCTCCCTCTCTCCTCTGAAATCCCCGAGTTTAAACACACACACACCACCACCACACTACCACTCAAAAACCACAAGCAGATACTGCCAAACTGGTATTCCCACTCTCTAAGGATGGCAGGGCCAGCCCCGGTGCTGCCTTCACATGTTCGACATCACATCTTCCAAACAGATGAGCTATCTATTTGCTTAATAAACAAAAAAGGAAACACCAGCACAGGTGCCTTTTTACACACCCATAAAACCCCTTGGCCTCTTTGAGGAGAAGCTGGGTGTGTTCCTCTGCAGCTCACTGCAGCCTGAGGGTCAACAGCAACAACCCACACAAAGGGAGAGATGGGCAGTCTGGGCTCTGACTCAGGCTTCTCCAGCTGTATGACCTTTGGCAAATGCTTCACATCTGAGCTTCTTTCTCTAAAATGAGTGCTGGACTTCACTAGACTATTTCTAGGATCTTTTCTTTCTTTCTTTCTTTTTTTTTTTCTTCAACCTTTTATTTTGAAATTTTCAAACATACAGAAAAGTTGAAAGAACAGCACAATAAACTATAGTATCCACTAGCTTCAACATTTGTTAACGTATTGCCACATTTGCTTGATAGATATGGAAACACAGAGATATCTTTGGCTAAATTATTAGAAAGTAAGTGACAGATGTTGCAAGGCTTTATTCTTAACTACTTCACCATGCATCTCCTAAGAATAAGGGCATCCTCCTGCCTAACCACAATATTACTAGCAACACCTTTAAAAATTTCGTATCATCTAATATTCTAGGAAAGCTTACTGCCCCTAAAACACGTTAATAGCAATGAACCCTCAGAACGTCCTCCAGAACTTTTAATTTTTAATAGCTAACATTTATTGAGCACTTACTGTATGCTAGGCCATATGCTATATACTTGACATGTATTACATATGTAATCCTCACAATTTCTGTTTAAACTAAATGCTATTATCATCGTTTTGTTATCTCCACTTTACAAATGAGGAAACTGAGTAAGTTACCCAAGGTCATGTGGCTGTGAGGAATGGAGGCAGGACTGAAACACAGGCAGTCAAGCTCCAGAGGCTGTGTGGTTGATCCTCCTCAGTGGACTGCCTCCCTCCAGCATCTTCTAGACCATAAACTGGCAGAGGAGTAACCACATCTCCAAATGCCTATTTCATTGATGAACACACTGAGTCCCAGAGGATGTGACATGCCAAAGAAGTTAAAGGCAGATGTTTCGTTCCACCTTAGAGTTTGGCAAATGATTTGACATTAAGGAGCAAACTGAAAATACCTGTGAATCCCATCGTGGTCACTGGTAATAAATGAATGCATAATCTGATCTCCATACACCTCTTCCAGTTCCTCACACTTGACTTCAACCATATTAATTAGACAACCATCTGGAAACCACTCTCTTTGCCTGATGACTAGAGACCTGAATGAGTCCATTCAACAAATCCATTCATTCAACATATATTTGTTGAACATCTACTATGTATCAGGCACTCTTCTAGGAGCTTGGAATACAGTGATGACTAAATGCACCAAGACTCTGTTCTTATTGAATGTACATACTAGTGGGGGTAACAATCAATAACAGATAAGCAAATAAGTATAAAATAGGTTGAGTTGTGATCATAGCTAGGAAGAAAAATCAAGCATAGTAAGGAGAGAAAGAGTGGCAGTGGGGGCTATTTTAGAAAGAATAGTCAGGGAAAGCTCTTTTGATAAGGTGGAATTTGGGCAGAGGCCTAAAGGAAATGAAAGAACTTAACACGCAGGTACCCAAGGGAAGAGTGACAAGGCTTAGAGGACAGAGTACCAGGGCCCTGAGGCGAGTGGGCTTGGCATGTTTAAAGGCTAGCAGGGACACCAATATAGCTAAACTGGAGAGACTGGAGTGCACAAGGGGAAGAGAGAGGAGGGCTGAGATCAGAGAAGTAGCAGGAGCCAGGTCTTACAGGGCTTGTAGGCCTTGGTAAGGACTTTGGATTCTATTCAGAAAGTGAGATGGCAAGCCTTAGAAGGTTTAGAGTCAGGGCATGGAATTATCTAATTACAGTTTTTTAAAGATTACTCTGGATGCTACGATTGGGGGGAGGCAAGGATAGAAGCAGTGAGACCAATTAGGAGGCTATTAGAGTAGTCCCGGCAAGATATGGTGGTGGCTTAGAACAGGGTAGCAGCCGGGGGGGTGGTGAGAAGTGGCTAGACTCTAGATGTAATTTGGAGGTGATGCTGACAGGATTTGTTGATAGATTGGGGGTGTGGTATGAAAGAGAGTCACAGATGATTCAAGTTTTGAAGTCTGAGCCACTGAAAGAAAGGAATTGCCATTTACTGAGGGGGAAGACCAATGGCTGAGTAGGCCTGAAGGGATGGGGAATACAGAGTTTTGGTCGTGTTTAGTTGATTTAGGTTTGAAGTTTGAGTGCATGTTACATATCTAAGTAGAGTAGGCAATTGGGGTTCAAGGGAGAGGTAAAGGATTGGAGATATAACTTTGGGAGTCATCAGTATGTGAATAGTATTTAAAACCATGGGACTAGACGAGATCATCTAGGGAGTGGGTATAGCTAGAAAAATTGTCCAAGAATGATCCTGGGCACTTCATTACTTACAGGTTAGGAAGACAAAAGGAGACTGAGAAGAGTGGCTAGTGAAGCAGGAGGAGACCCAAGAGAGAGTGGTGTCCTGGAGCCAAGCAAGAAACCTGGTAACAGAACCTTACCAGCTGGGTTGAGTGCTGCTCACTTGTAGAATAAGATAAGGACTGAGAAATGACCATTGGACTCAGCAGCAAGAGGGTCACTGGTGACCTTGATAAGAGCTGTTTTAGTGGAGTATGGGGAGGAGATCCTGATTGAAGTGGGTTTGGGAATTAGAATGGAGGACAGGAAGTAGAGATACTGAGAATGTAAACAACTCTTTAGAAGTATTTTGCTGCAAAGGGGAGCAAAGAGTAGCATGGTGGCTTAAAGGAGAAGTGGGAGCAAGGGAGGCTCTTTTAAGATGGGAGACATTAGAGCTTGCTTGTTTGCTGATAGGAATAATCCAGTAGAGAGAGAAACGTTGATGGCTCAGAAAAGAGAGGGTTAATCACAGAAGCAAGCCCTGGAGGGGTCAGCAGAGGATGGGATCCAAGGCAAATGTGGAGGGGATGGCTTTGGAGAGGAGCACAGACCATTTTCTACCATGGATACAGTGGAAGAAGTAATGAGTAAGGAGTAAACGGCCACAGATGTGAGTAGGTTAGGAGGTTTTGCAGTATAAGCAAAGAGCTGAGCTCTCTTCCTTACTCCACTTCAACTAGCCAGAGACGATTCATGCATTATGACCTTTCTCAACAAGTACATTCAACCATTAAGTATGGAAAGCTTGCTATGTGCCAAGCATGGTGCTGGCACTTTCCTGTGTAGCCCAAAGACAGTTCTCTTTCCCATTGAAATTACAGCACTAGGACTCTACAGAGAACCTTGACATCATTCAGACAAGGATGAACGATCCCTGTTAATATCCAGCTCCTCTGACTGGAAAGAGACTTTAATAGCCTCAGCCTTTTATCACTACATTACCTCCAGGCTTGTTATAACAATCTCAACAGACCTCAAGGCTTGGAGGCATCAAAGTAGAGGCCATGGAGAGAGATCCATATTCGGAGTGGGGAGAGTTTCATACTGTGCTGACTCAAGGCTGTGATGGGATGCTACGGAATGGGATGTTCCCACACTCCAGTCATTGGGACTGTAACTCTGAGGCAGGAGAAGACGTTGAGGTTTAATCTGACTAATCATTATTACCCAGCTGCCTTGGGACAAACCAGTCCTATGCAAGAGCCTAGGTCTTTGATGTTTTTGTCATAAATTAATGAGTTCGCCCACAAAATAACATCAAAGAAGATCCACTAACTAATTCACTGTTATCATCCTTTAATCTGCGGCTGCATTGGAAAGTCTCCAAAAAAAGGACCACAGCCTGAAAAAGAAATCAACTGAAAGATTTGGAAATCATGATATCTGGAAAGAGATGAGAGAGAAATGAACTCCTGTAGACTGCAGAGAAGAAAGGGAAAGAGCTAGCAAATCTCAGGGAAATGAAGAAAAAGCAGAAGAGACGGGCAGATTCTCAGCACTTGGATCTGGAAGGAAAACAATTGCATGAATGCTTGAGGGGGAAATTGTGGTCTGGAAAGTCTTCAATGGTGTCATCTCAGAGCACATTGTGGGGACTACGAGGAAGTGTGTGGTAGGAAACAGTGTCCCTTGAGTCAGATGACATGGGTTTCAGCCTCTGGCTCTGCTATTTGCTATGTGATCATCAGCAAGTCGCAACCTCTCTAAGCCTCAGTTCTCTGATCCGTAAAATGGTGGCAATAATTCTCCCTCCCCAGACAGGATCCCTCCAAGTATAGGAGGCTTTCTCTAGATGTTACCTGACTCTTCCAAATCTGGTCTTTCAAAAGGAAAACAGGAAAATATTTTGGAAATGCCTTGCTGGAGATCTTCCCACAGTGACATTTCTTCCAGGCCCAGCAAGGTTTCCTAAAGCACAGAGAATATCAGGAAACATGCTCCATTTAACTCAGTGAGTTATTGAACACCCTCTGTGTGCCAGTCAGAAAGATGACCGTGGGATGATTCCAGCCCCTCAAGGACACCAAAATATAATCAAGTCGTGACCAGACTCTGTGATAAGGGCTAATGTGGAGACAGGTTCCTCAGAGTTGGGGTTCATAAAAGGTTTTACAGACTACATGACATTTGAGCTCGGACTGCTAGGACTAGTGTCATATCCCGAGACAGCAGATGAAGGGACACGTATGCAAAGGCAAGATGGCATGTAAGGTGCCTGGAAACACAGAACCTCTGGAACCTCAAACTCAAGAAAGCAGCTGCCAGGCAGTAACAAGAATGACTGCAAAGGCCCCAGAAACATGAATGGAGGGGACCTACCCTAAAAATAGTACCAGAGCAGGCAGACCGTGACACATGTCTGGAAGTGGAGTCACTAGGAGGTGACTAAGCTAATGGAGGGTTGCCTCCCTTTCTTAACTTCATTCATAGTCTCTTTCCATCTCTTTCTCTCTATCATCTAGAGAAAGTGGAGTGGGAGGCAAGGTTTTATAAGAATTCACAGCTACCCCAAGGGAAATTGCAGATACTGGGATGACACCAGGGGACTATTAGCCAAAATGCTTACCTGTCATTACAAGATCCGCTGTGCTGGAGGCCAGGCAGAATACCTGAAAGTCTGTGCCCCTGTTCTAATAGGGGCTCCAGAGACACTCAGGAGTAGCAATCATTGAATGATTGACTGCAGGGTCTAACTTCCATATTAAGCAAACTGGCAACAAACTCACCAATCACTTCAAACCATGACCCACTGGGGGAAGACTGCAGGCTTCTAACTAAATGATGGAAGTTCTTTGAGGAAGTAAATAAGCATGAGCATAAAAAGTAATAGGTGCTTTTAAAGAATCATTAATTATGAGAGCAAAAGGGATCATGGAGTTCAAACAAATTTCAGCTGTAGAACCCTTTGTTCAAACAAAATCTTGCATGAAAGTCAAATATCTAAAACAAATAAAGAAAGCGGATTTGGATGAAAGGGTACCTATCCTACCACCCGCTTACTCCCTGCACAAGCCCCCAAGACACACCCCCTGTGGACTCCCCAGGGCCTAGCAGAATATGTTTTTTCAATCATCAAGGGAACACATGCCTATGGTTTTAAAAATCCAAACACACCGAAAGGCTTATAATAAAAGGCAAGAGTCCCCTGTGTGCTGTATCCTGCGCCTTCCTACCTTCAGTCTTTTCTCCCCTAGAAGAAAGGACTTTTCACTCTTTTAGCTGTTTCTGCTTCAAATTCTTCTGATAGTTTTTTTACATTGCTAAATGATATGCTTGTAGTTCTATTTCTTGATTTATTAACATTAGAAACCTTGTCCTGTTTTCTGCAGTGACAGAACTTAGCTCACCCTGCCACCCTCACCTCCCAATATAGTTACAGCACTATTTGAACTTAATTTTTATTTTTATCAAAGTGATACATGCAATTAGTTTAAAATTCCAACCAGGGACAAGGGCTTAGAGCGAAAAACAGAAGCCCTGTCCTATCCCTTCCCTCTCACTGTCCCCATCCTCCCTCCAACTAAGGTGGGATGGCTCATGGGAATAGATGCATGGATCTCTTAGGTGTTCTGTTGTGCTGTGTAGGGAGTCTTTTGTTGGTCAATGGATCCAATTGGTTGTAACTTAGAGGGGAGAGACAAAGAGAATAACTCACTCTGCCATGATGCTTGGCTCATGGGAATAGAGAATATCTCTATTTAGTTCCTCTTCTTGTTCCTTTTCGATAGCATACATCATGTATTCTAGCAAACAATACAGCTCACTTATTATGTCTTCTGTTTGTCTTGCCTGCTAAATGGTAAGCTTGGGCAGGGATCTTTGTTATGTTCACTGATGTATCCAAATGCCTAGAATAATGTCTGGCTGAATAAATATTTGTTGAATTAATTAAAGCAAAATTCCCTAGAAAAGGGAGAGAAAGAAGCAGGGTTTCTTTGAGATAGTGTTAGAACCAATCATTTTATGTTTGATTTGTTCTATGGGAAGGAATGAAGATAAATGAAAATTTTATTTTGTAGATGATACAAAATTCTTCTGGACAGTGAGGGAGATGCTATAATAGATAAAGACTTCAATTCAGACCCACTTATTGGCTTTGCATGTTTGGACAAGTTGGTCCAATTGCCTTGGAAAGAGAGTAGCTATTTGCTTAGGTTGGTAGAGGCTGGGTAGGAAATGAATGTCAAGGAAGTGGCCTTTGCCAACCCCACTCTCCCAAGGACACCTCCTGCTGTGGAAGGAGAGGCAGAGGTGCTTCCTGCAGGGGTAACAGCCATTGTGGGCCCCAGAGCCAGAGGCCATCAGCCAAGGGCTGGGCACCAGGCACTCGTGGGAAGGAGAGAACACCGTTCTGAGTCCACCTGCCCCAGCACTGTGAGTCCCACCTTCCAGATGCATCTCAAAGCCCACCAGTCCCAGGAAGCCTTTCTTGAACCATCTCACTCCCAACGCAGAGCTTTATAGATACCTCTCTCACGGCTTTTATCATACCATGCTTTGCCTGGTAAACTCCTATAGAGCTTTTGGAATTTCTGACCCCTGGGCAAGTCACAGGCATGTTCCAGTGATTGGAATGTTTCCATAGTCTTCAGATTTCTGCCAGCCATTTCACTGTTCCTTGCCTCCACGTCCTCTATTCCCCCTTCTGGGCCCCCTGATATTTCCCTGTATCTACAGCTTCCTTAGCTAAAAAGTATCACCCTCTCTTCACCAAGGTCACCACACCCTAGGCTTCTATTTTTTCTGGTCCTGCCCATCTGGCCCCGGCCTATCCCTCCCAGTCCCTTCTCACCACTCCTCTCCTCATGCTCTCCATGCCAGCCACAGCCATACTGGACTTTTATTTTTCAGTCCGTCAAACGCACTATGCTCTGTGTCACTTCTGAGCCTTCATATATGCTCTACCTGGAATGTTCTTTCCCTCCTCTTCACCTGGATAAATCTCTTCAGGTCCCAATTTAAAATTTACTTCTTTGGGTAGTAAGTTTTTATTTTCTTTTTCCCTATATTCTTTTTGTTCTGATTACATTTATTAAAATGTTGTTTTTTGTTGAATCTAATAATAAAAAATTGAGAATTGTAAAAAATAAAATTAAAAACATAATAAAATTTATTTCCTTGGGGAAGCCTTCCTTGGCACTTTAGCCACGGTTAGATGCCTTTATTATGAGCACCCTACACTTGCCCTACAAAACAATCATACTGTCTGAAATTTATTTGTCTGTTTTCTTTATCAGACCATCAGCCCCTTGAGGGCAGGAACTTTGTCTCCTCAGCTGCATTCCCAGTGCTCAGAATAGTGCCTGGAACATGGTAGATGCTCTAACACTATTTGTAGAGGAAGGTAGGTTGACTTACAGGAAAGGGAATGTCTCTATTCAGCTCCACAACACTGAGCCTCAGGCAGGGAGAGGCATGGTTCCAATCATGTTTGGGAAACCCAGCTTAGACACCATGACACAGCAAGCAACTGACAGGTGCCCAGTGACCCACAGAGACAATGAGTGTTGTGAGAAAGCTGAGGAGGGAGAGATCCCAGTGGTCTGGTGACTGGAGTCTTCCCCTGGCCCAAGGGTCCAGAGGTGGTTTCTGAAAGATGAGCTGTTTGATACTTAGAGGAGGAGGACAGGCAGGGTTGGACAAATGCGCAGCTGGAAGTTAAGGAAGAAGAAGGTATACTTGAATCAGACCATGCTGGCTGATTTGAACTACTCTTTAGAGAAACAAGCCTGGAGCCAGACAATGAAGAGTCATTAAGCAAGGCAATGGGGAGCCTGTGAGGGAGCCAAACAGTGAGGGGCATAAGGCAAGCAAAGTACTGGAACAAGTCCTCTGCAAGCAGCGTGGGGATGGATTAGAGGGGAGGGGAGGGAGCAGGAAGAGCAGGAAGGAAGCTATTGTGCTAGACCGGGGGGGGGGGGGCCCAGACATGGGTCACTGCCTAAGAATGAGGGCAAAGGGACAGATTCAAGAAACATTTTAAATGGAGTCGCCACTAGCTGCTGCTTCTGACTCATTACATGAGATGAAGATGGGAGGGGCGGACAAAGAGGATGCAGGACCGTGCATCCATCTCTGCGGCTAGGAGATGCCATGGTCAGAAATCACAAGGGCAGACTAGGTAACTCTACATGCCAGATGTAAAGGATAGGAGAAGCTTCAGTGATTTTTTTAGGACTAAGGGGATAGTGCGAGACCATAGGTTAAGACTTGGGAGGTCTCTCTATAAAAGTAACAGTTGATGCCATAAGAATGGGTCACTTGACCTTGGGAGAGGGATAAAGAGAACT